ATTATCCGTTATAGTCCAACATAATAGAAATCCATTTCAAGAGGACGATTTAGAAATCCAACATAATTTAGTTCAAGATGATAGTGAAGAGTAGTTGTTGAATGATCTAAATGGATTGTTTATAGATGTAAAAATATTTGAAGTTAATGAAGAATATGAGAGTAAATATGTATCAAAATCAACTAAAGAAAAGAAAAACTTAGAAGATTATTATGATAGTTATAATTAAAGATCAATTTTATTTATTATATTCATTAAATTATATTGTTGTATTTACTATGCTTTTTTTCTTTTTTTTTGTGTGTTTGTAGTGCATTTTGGATGTGTTGATTTTTGTTTTGTTTTAATTCATAATAATTTACAATATATTTTTTTATTGAATTTTTATTCATTTTTTAAATTATTTTAGGTATTATTCTTGAGTTATGCCTTATGGATTGAGCAAATCTAGTTACGGTGTTAGTAAGCTGTGACTCTAATGTTGACCATGCCACTAATAGTGGTGTTGTATGTGAATGTGACATTATTAGTCCAAGCTGTTTGGGGTCGCCGACTTGATAGTGGTGTCGGTACGTCTACACCTCTCTAGTAGTGCTCTGTTGGTAGTGCTCCTTATTGTAGATGATCCCATTATGGTTTCCTCAACTTCAAGAAGTTCTATTGATCTAATGATGGACGGACCATTTGGGTCATGAACAACTAGTAAGTAATATGTTTTACTTGTAATAATTAGTTTTATATTTTTATAGATTATATTGGAATCATTAACTTACTTATTTACTATTCATTGATTTATTTTATTCAATAGTTTGGTTCCATCAAGCAAGTGGTCCTAAAAAATCACAATAATTTTCAAAGAGTGGTTAGAAGTTATTAGCTTCACATGAAAGTTTGTCTTCATAGAGATGAAAGACTACTACTTTAACGAGTTTAAGGTAACATATTAATTATTTTCTTTAAAGTGTTAATTTGCTATAAAAAGTAATAATATTATTTTTTCCTTTCATATAAAAGTACTTTCATGGGATGTAGTCGTCGACTTACCGATTAAAAATGCATGGGAGAGCTTGGCACGAAAGTGGTACGATGACATGTTTAACAAGTCGAAGTATAAGAGTAATAGACCCATGTTCGTTAAACAGGAGGTGTGAAAAGCATGTCATCGGGATTGGACCACTCTCGAGTATCATGCCCGATCTCAACATGCATCTCAAAACCACATGTTAAAGACGAATGATGTCGGTGCTAGCTTGTCCATGCATACCTGGAGCGTTCATCTCTTTGATAGAGTATGCTTGAACGTTTGGTAAATACTATATTATCTATAGTGTTATAAATTAATTTTTATATTTATTTCATTTTATATTATTTTGTTTTTTAGCATAATAAATTAGGTTGTAACCCACATTCTTACGAGTCGTTCATGACCACTCATAAGCGAAAGGATGAGACATTAGTCGACATGCGGTAATAGACGGTAATGGTAAGGTTTTATATATTTTTTTAAAAAATATATGTACATCTATTGATATAATCTAAAAGTATATTTATGATCTAATATTCTAATTATTTCAATGATTTAGGAGCACGTGTAGTCAATGTAGGAAACAACTGCTAAGGAGAGCTAAGAGGGTGATGCTTCGTCTCGAGATATCGATATGTCTAAGATATATTTGGATGCTCGTTGGAAGGGAGAAGAAATAGAGAATGTATGACATCAAAACTTATGCATTCTAGTGTTACTCACATTCCGACCCCTAGCTCATCCTCTACCATTTCACGGTATCCCGATGGTAATATTCGGGAGGTTTCTCTTCCGAGTACGAAGATAGGATTAAGAGGATGGAGGCTACCATCCAAGCAATAGGTCAATCAAGTTAGTAGCATGCGGACTCAATTGTAGAAGTTATGGTGTTGTTAGAGAACTTTCAGCCGCATCATGTCCCTCTTGCTTACCCTCCCATAACCTAGCTATTAGTTGTTCCTTTTAATAGCCAATAGCCAAAAGATGATGCGGAAGATGGTGATAATAAAGACTAATTTTTTTTTTTTAAAAAAGTTTCGAATGTTATTACACATCTTAACGCACTTATATATTTATTTTATTTTAATTTTATTAAATAATATATCGTGCTTTAATAAGGTTTTATTTATATTTGTTTGTTATTATAATTCCCAATAAATGACTATTGATTAAAAAAAAATAACGACAGATTTATTGACGGAATAGAAAGGGTAATTAGCGATGGATACATATATAGTCGCTAAATAGCGACAAATTTAATGATAGAATTGTGAGGATATTAGCGACTATAATTTAGCGACAACTCATTCCGTCTCTATTTAGCTATGAATTTAAGTGAAAATAGTGATGTTTTGGTAACAAATATGAGAAATTATAAACGATTGATTTAGATCAATTTAGCGACGGAAGGTCAACAATTTAACGACGGATATTTAGTCGTTGTGTAGCGATGAAAGTAAAATTTGATTGCTAAAAGAATAACGACTACTATACTAACAACGAAATTTATATTGTTTTTAATTCATCGCTAATTGCATCTAGCGATGGATTTTTGATAAATAGCGATGGAAAAATCCATCGCTATTTAACGAAATTTTAGTAGTGACATCATAAATTAACCAAGCATCACTATGAAAAAATATTTTAAATCAAATAAAAATTTTAAAATTGTTAAAGGATGCTATATAAATTAATAGTTGTGTATTGCTAGGTATAACAAGATGAGACAGGAGCAGAGGGAAAAAACCTTTGATGACAGTGAAAGGTGAAACAAAATAAACATTAAAGGCGGGGTCAACAATTGCAAGTTCACATCTCCTTATCATAGAACTTGCGTAAAAGCAATAGCAGGGGTAAGCTAATATATCATTAAATGAGCAATCCTGGTGAGTTGAACAATGACAATATTCTATCCTTTCAGACTTCAGAGATTCACAGTTGCCTATCAGGCAGCAATCTGAGGATGCCTATCTGCAATTACCATGCTGATTCGGACTTGCTTCTTGTATGTGCAATCGTGCATCCATTTTTGTCAAAGGGCATTTCCACGATAGAAGGGGGAACCATGAGTTGTTGACTTCTTTTTCTTTTCCTTTTTTTTTCCACCGCAACGGTATATTCAAATTAGTTTGTATATAAATTGAAATTAAATCTTTTTTTTTTTGACGATTTTAAATCATTAGTTTAATACAAAAATATAATAAATTATCATAAAAATTAAATTTAAAGTTTGAATTCAAAAAATAAAGATATAGAACAAACTTTTTTTTTTTTTTAAGTACTAGATCAATTTTTTTAGCAGCTAATTTGCTATAAACTATTTTGAATTATTGTTCAATATAAGAAAAATCTTTAACTTTTTTTTTTTTTAATAATTAAACCTTTTCATTCTATTTATCAATTTTAGGCCATATTGAACATGAGCTAGAAGTATGTAAAGTTATAAAATAACTACATGTACCTTATGTTTAAGATTTTGAGACATTTGTCATTGTTTTAACCCCCCTGTGTCTTTTTTAATTTATATCAAGTGATATTGATTAACAAAATGAAAGACTTAACTGAAAATTAAAAAAATAAATAAAATTGCTAACTTACGAGTAATCCAGTAGAAAAGGTATTTCTTATTTTCATGAATTGGGCCAAGGCCCACACCAAAACGAAAAATAAAGGAAATATCATCATGATTCATTATTTAATATCTTTGAATTTTTACACCAGTAAAAGGATTTGGCCGTCACTTTATAATTAGGTGGAAGCTAGAATCCAAATATAGAAATAACAACTCTTTAAGCTTTAAGATTAAGTCCTATTGGATACTTTGGTATCTACATTTTATAATTGTAAGAATAAAAATTCGTTTTACAAAATCATTGAAAATCTTCAAACTTCAAATTAAAATGATTAATTGGTTGATACCCGATAATAATTAACTAGTTTCTCTCTAAATGAAAGCCTCATGATTAAAATTCCACTGTAATTGCCCATCAGACACAGTAAATTAATCATGACAATTTGAAGGTAATCGCATATATTTTCCATTAGTTTCTAATATTGCTCATGACAAGTTCTATCTATCTTTCTTTTTTCTTTTTTCTTTTTTTTTTTAAATTTTGAGCTGGTTGTCAAGTTTTACAGAAACAAAGCTTTTGTAAATGAGAAAGTGGTTTTCAAAGACGAATGATAGGGAAATAGTAATGTTTTTTCTGCCTTTCTGGGGATAAAAAATGGAAGAGTTTTAAGGAGACGAGTCCTTGTTGGATCGAATAGCCAAATTAAGTAGAAGATTGTAGTGTTTCAAGAGAGGAAATGGAAATGTAGGTGCTTTTACGTCCAAGGCCCGGCAACGCAACAACCCTCTTCTCCACCTTTTACGGAGAAAGAGAAAGGACAACTTGTGTTCCAAAAATAAAAGGTCAAACAAACTAGTAGCACTATTTCTTTCTTTTTTTTTTTTTTTCCCCTTCTTTCTTCTATATAACTCCATCACAACCCAACCTATCCTCTTCCCCTTTCCCTCCCTCCCTCCCTCCCTTTCTCTCTCTCACAGCTTTTGGCAAGCTAAGCTTTTATTCACCAAACCTTTGATATGATATGTTCCTTTTCTCATACCAAAACCAACTCGTCTCTGTCTGTCTATTTCCAGCATTAATGCATCAATTTGAACTCGGGGCAACAGAATTCATCTATCCCACCTGTCCTTCGCCACCTCTCTGTCTTTCTCTTGCATATATTGTAAATCAAGTTGGTGTCTTTTTGCTAAATCTTTGACTGGCTTCAATATAGCCCAATTTGCCGCAACGTTTAGCCACATACTAGTACTTGTAACTTGACTAATTAAAGCTTGTGACAGTTGTTGATGGAGAGTCGTGACTTCTTTTTAAATGCAGGAATCCCTCCACAAGCATTGCACTTTGAACCAACCTCAACTTCTTCATCAATGCCCATTTGGCAATCACTATCTTCTCCCATGGAAATGCAAGTTTATGAACCCAATTGCTCCACCGGTCACTTGTTCAATTCCAACTGGGAAAAGTCAACGGATCACAGTCCTCGCTTTGACTCTGCCCTGAGTTCAATGGTGTCCTCTCCACCAGTATCTAATTCTAACATGTCCAGTGAGAGCTTTATGATCAGAGAACTGATAGGAAAGCTAGGAAACATTGGCAACAACAACTGCAACAACCCTGGTGAGATACCGCATTCTCAGCCCATGTTGGCGGCTTCGTATATTAAAACGACTGCCAATAACAGCACCAACACTTCATGCTATACTACTCCTTTGAATTCACCACCCAAGGTGAATATGCCTGTCATGGAAAAATTGAATTTCCCCAGTTTGGGAAAACCAATGGCTTTGAATTCCAGTGTGGCAGAGTTCACAGCTGATCCTGGATTTGCCGAGAGAGCTGCAAAGTTCTCTTGCTTTGGCAGCAGAAGTTTCAATGGCAGAACCAGCCAGTTGGGGCGAACCAATGCTGAATTGGCTAATAGATGCAATCCGTTGATGAAGAATGCCAAGTTAGCGCGTGTTGCGAGTAGTCCTTCACTCAAGGCAGTTGGATCTCAAAAGGGAAACAAGAGTTCTCCATTTGAGGATCGATCCGAATTGGCCAATTCTCAGGAGTCCTCTGTATCTGAACAAATTCCAAACGCAGAGGCAGGTTTAAAGGCCTACAATGAGTTGAATTCCAGGAAAAGAAAAGCAGTTTCCAAGGGAAAAGCAAAAGAACCAGCACCAAACCCATTGGCCAATGCTACAAAGGTATATAATTGTGTGGATTACTATCAAAGTCAAATTTTTTTCCCCCTTTTCTTCTTTTATCAATTGAGAACGCAATTTTGGTGAAACGGGCAAATTTTCTCGTTCAGGATGCAGAAACTGATGACTATTCAAATACAAAGCGAATCAAGCCAATTGAAGGAAATGAGAATGAAAATAGTCTTGTTAAAGCAGAGGAAGAGCCAAAGGGAAGTGGAGATGATAAACAGAACAAGGCTAATTCAAAGCCTCCTGAGCCCCCAAAGGACTACATTCATGTTAGAGCAAGGAGGGGTCAAGCAACAGATAGTCATAGCCTTGCTGAAAGAGTGAGAATTACAAGTTAATTTGTATCAACAAGATTATTCAATCAAGTAATTGCCAAGATTAGCATTAACATTGGCTAATTAACATGTTGTCAGGTTCGAAGAGAGAAAATTAGTGAACGAATGAAACTTCTCCAAGATCTTGTACCTGGTTGCAATAAGGTGTGTTGAAAATTGCAGAATTTGAATACATTAGCAGCTTCAAGTACATAAATTTATAATTTCTAAAATAAGTTTTGTGTTTCCCATTTAGGTCACAGGAAAAGCCCTTATGCTTGATGAAATTATAAATTACGTGCAGTCGTTGCAACGGCAAGTTGAGGTAAATTGATATATATATACCAATCAACAATCCTGGTTTCTTTTTGCAAATTGAAGTTTCATGCCTAATGATTGTCCTTTTTCTGTTTCTTTGGGCAGTTCCTCTCGATGAAGTTGGCTTCTGTGGATACCGGCCTGGATTTTAACATGGATACTTCAAAAGAAGTGAGTTTTAGTCATTGCCCTAAAACTTCTTCTTCCTTTTTGTACATGAATTTCAATTTTCTAAATTTGAAGTCGTTGCATTTTTGTGTTTAGATATTGCAATCAAGCCAGCCATTGCCCCATCCAATATTCCCATTAGATTCCTCGGCAGCAGCAATGTTTGGCCACCAACCGCAGCAAAACCCACCACCGCATGGCAATATTTCCAATGGGACAGTGACCCAGTGTTCTATGGACCCAATAGATACTACCGGACTATGCCAAAACCTCAGCACGCAATTACCCCCACTTGACGGATTTACCCCTACTGTTCATCAGGTATTGAATTTCACTCACAATTCTGTAATGAGAATACAAAGTTCTTTTTTTTTTTTTTCCTCATTCTTCTGGCAATTTCACTTGCATATTTCTGAATCTGCTTCTCTAATTGTGTCCAGTATCCAACATTCAGTGAAGATGACCTGCAAACCATTGTTCAGATGGGTTTTGGCCAGAATCCAAACCTGGAAACAACACTTCTGTCCCAAAATTTCCACTGTAAGAAAATCGAGTGACAGAAATCAAGTTGTTAACCAAAAACTATGGAAACTCTTGTCAATGACAAGGATTCATTTCATGCAGGTTCAAATCAAGCATCCCGCTTGAAAATTGAGCTCTAATTATTACCATTCTTCGGTCCAACAAAAAAAGAAAAAAAATTAGACGGTCAGAAGGAGAGAAAGGCCGCTGTATATACAAGAAATTTTATTTGGACTAGAGCAAGAATTACTAAGCAATTTTTATCATTAGGTTAATGAGGAGGAATTTTTTTTTCCCAATAATTTTTTTTTTGTTGGAAGTATCCACTGTAAAACCCTAGTGTGGTGCAATTTAAGTCTTGTAGCACCAGAATGTGATGTAAGATACAATTCTGATTAGTAAATGAAGAATTTCACCTCCTGTCATTTTCTATCTGTATGTACATTTTTGTACTGGTATGTATATAAAGACTGTAGAAGCATCATACATAGTTTTATAAATAAATTTCAGTTAGATTTCTATGTGGAAAGGGTCACATCGATTAAGCATTGCTAGATCGTGCAATCTTTAGGATTTGATTCTTTCTTATGTTGTAACCAGCTGTATATGCTGGGGACTTTCTCCAAAAGTCTAATTTGAGTGATTAAGACATTGGTTTATCTTGAGCTTGGGGTCAGCAATTGCATGATTTCTGGCACACACTACCCTCCTGTAACTTTCATTGATAAACCAAAAACAGAAGCTTCTGTTCCCTTTTTACTGTGCAAAATACAAATCAATCAACCAAAGATTGGAAGTTAGAACTACTCCATTTTTTTCCCAAAAAATATTATTATTTATTTTATAAACAATATATTTATCAGCATCAAAAGAATCCCAGGTTGGCAGTGGTGAGATTCTGACTAGACCCAATGCATCAAAGAGCTTTATTATCCCCTCCACTTTTAAAAGTATTAATCAATAGGAGGAAAAAAAAAAAAGGTTTAATTTAGTGGAGTTCAGGTATGGAAAGATACCCTTTAGAAATAGACTAATCTTTTCCTATGAGGTTGTTAGTAAAAATCCATTTTTTGGGGTTTAACAAAAGATTTCTGCCCTGCAGCCTTAGCTGTTTTTTTTTTCATATTGAAAGGTCTATAATTGCTCTGCAAATTAGTGGTATTATTGTTGTTTATTCACCAGAAAGATGCTACGAATGTGGTGGTGGTTTGCACAGAACAGTTAAGAGGACATGCTTATTCTATAATATTACTGATAATTTGGAAATGTTTTCATGTGACAGTCTTGTCCCCATAAAAGTTTCAAAGGCTCCAATCATAATGCAACGTGTCTAGGGATTAGTATTTGACGTATTTCCTGATTGCTAACTTCTTTGTCTGTTTTATCCGTTCTTAGGTAGCTGGTTTTCTTCCCATATTAAAAAAAATTACGCTAAAAGGACCGGTAACTTGTTGGAAATGCATAACCATGACAACTATTACCAAAATTCATTGAGACGTTCCATGTAACCTTTGACCATCTGGCAAAATTCTCCAAGTGAAAAAGGCACCTAAATGCAATTATGCAAAGGACAATCTTTTTTTATTGCTAGTTGGAAACTCATTCTAATTGAGTACTACTACTCCATTTGGTGCCAAATGCTGTGCCTAGGAGGGCTTACCGACGTATGGAATGCTAAAAAAACAATTGCACTATTTTAACTAGTTTTAATTTTTTTTTTCATTTATGTGATTTTTCTTATTGAAAAAACAATAATCTCACATAAAATTTGAGTTTGTTGGTCAATTGTCTTAATCAAAATCCTGAAATCCATGTCCTTGATGAAGGTAAAAGCTTCGACCTTCCGCGAATTGATGTCGGATTTTTTGCCCACCAAAATAGGTCCTACCCTACCAATTGGCAAAGAATTGAGTAGGAGAGATTTCAAGGACTATATAGATGGTTGTTTTGTAGGGTATTATAGAGATCATTAGGGTAGGTGCCCTATGACTTATTAAGTTGTTGCTATTCTATCACCCCTTTTCAGTTGGATCAAGTTTAACTCCAGGAACCTTTATTTTTTAGGTCTCTTTAACCTTTATTGGTGATTTCTTTGCAGGGGGAAAACACAGGCTGTGAAGCAAACCCATCATTTGCTTTACCAACCATTGCATTATTTCATGCTCTCCAACTGTAAGCGTGTTTTTGTTTTTCTGCAATCAAAGGATCTCACCATTAAATCCCATTTCTTTTCAACGCAGATAATTTATATATATATTGTGTCACAATCCCATCTATTATTATTATTTTGTTTTCCACTGGTGACTTGCGGTGGACAAATTTACCCTATTTCCAACGTGCATAGTACTTTTCGTGTGTGAGCTTTTTCACGCATTATCTGGGTCCACCAAAGAATTACTCATTTAGGAGTAGCTTAGCTTCCTACAGCATCGATTTGATTTAATTTTTCTTGGGTGTATTGTTCTTCTCAATGGCAAAACTACGAGTAAATAATAAATTAACCCCTTTACTTTTTTAAATGAATTAATTAGTTTTTTTAAATTTAAATTAAAATTTTTATCATTTACTTTTTAATTTAACATTAATTTATTTCAAAAAATTGTCATCTTTTCTATTTGATCCTTCTATATTTTTAACTTTTTTTTCTATTTCTTTAAACTAAAAATAAAAATAAATTAAAAATAAACAAAAAGATTAAACTGTAAAAAAATTCAAAAATATAAATACTAAATAATTAATTTTTTGAAATAAAAAAATTAATTAAAGCTCCAAGAGTAATTTATAATTTAGTCGGTGAAGAAAGCTCCACTCTTTAACATTCACTATGGGTTTTGACTCTACATATAATTCTTAAAGAAGTAAAATGTCAGTGTCAAAAAGAATTTTGGGCAAATTTCAAATGTGGAAATGATCTGGTCAGTCCATCAGTTTGTGTTTTGTTCGTAAAATTATTATTTTTTATTGTTTGTAATGCCAAAAAAATTTGATTTTTCTTATGCCCAATATAATCTTAAAAAAGAGGAGGATTACTCCCCTATATATATATATATATATATATATATATATATATATATATATATATCCAAAATTTTTAGTAATACTTAAGGCAAAAAGTTTCGTATGTAGCTGAAATAATGGCCATTAAATTCAAGAAATTGAGTGCGTCAAATACTGAAATTCGGGGAGTGATGGAACAATATGTATTTGTTGTTGGTGGCACCATTTTTTTATCTTTCATTTATTCATCCATGTCTTTTTGTCTATCTTCTTTAGTAAAACTAACAAAAAACATCATTTATTTTTGTAACTTCAATTTCTTTTTCTTCTTAAGAAAAAAAGTTATAGATAATTTACCAATTAATTACTTAAGAAAAATTTTCATGTAATTTCTTTTAAAAAAATATGTATAAAAAATTTTATTTTGAAAGAAAAATTACTTAGAACTAGAATACAAAAAAAATTATAATAAATCTAAAATTATATTAAAAAATAACAATCCAAATTTCCTATTTTTTTTTAAATATTCCAATCAATAAAAGCGTAAACTAGTGAAAAATACAAAGGCAGATTCAATGCAGATTAAATAGATAAAGAAAATTATAGCTATAGCATTTCATTTGAATTTATCTTAGAAAAAAGAAGAGAAAAATTCAAACATGCTAAATATAATAATTTTTATACATCGAAACAGGTGAAAATTAATTTAATTTTAAAATCAAATTTATGTATTTTTCTTAATCTAAACTTCCGCCTTCTCCATTTTTTTACTTTCTCAATTTCACCATCAGTTGAGAGCATCAAATCCAATTTCACTGATTGAAAACTACTAATGAGTTGTAGCTTAATATTATCATCCCTCCTTTTTTTAAAATATACTCGAGTTCGAATCTCTTTTTTATTATCTAAAAATTGATTGAAAATCAATAATAGTAATTTCCACAATCGACAGCAAGACTCCTGCCCATCTCATTATCAACTCCTCATCATTTATTTTGTTTAGGAAGTTAATTGATAAATTATTTGTATTTTTGAAAAAAATAATAATTAAAATTTGTAAAATAAAAGAGTATTTTCTATTAGTTTGCTAATAAATATAGACGGAAGGACTTTCTTAATAAATTTATGAAACGTCAAAGGAATAACTGACGGAAAAAAAAAAGAATTCATATATTGTAGGGGTTAAATAAACTTTAGCAAAGGCAAACATATCAACAATATATGTGTTATGTGTATGATTAGCATGTTTCGAAATTTAGCCTTCTTACTCCCACACATTACACAATGTGACCTAGATAACCTAAGCTACTCGGTAACATGTGTTAACACCTTTCCGCTCGTAAGAAAATAGCTAGGTTGACCTTAGAGCCAAAAGAATCAAATTAATATAAGTTGCAATCTCCGAGTAACATTCCAAGTTCAAAAAAAAAAAAAAAAAAAAAAAAAAACATGCGATTTCATGTGCCAGCAACTCAGATCTTTGATATCTTTCATAAGGAATTGTTCAAACATCTAGATGTATGTGCTCTGTGGTCTATGAGACGGTGCTATATATAGAAAGAAAATTGTGTATTATTTGGTACTTAAATTTTATTTATTTTCACTTTAAATATTAGGTTATTTGAATTATTGACTTCTTTTTATGTCAAATCTAAAACATATCACCCAACCATATGCACCATCGAATAATTTTTAATATCAATTTTACTTTCATACTTTTAGAATTCTCAATTAAGACTTTTATTTTTAAATAAAAATAAAAATTAGGCATGTTATCTGAGGAAAGCACATAAAAGTTGATCATGGAAAGTAGGATGTTTCCTTGTTTTGTTTTGTTTTGTTTTTTTTTTTTTTAATTTATAATTAGCTAAAATGAGTGTTTTACTGTTGAATTCCTAACTAATGGACCGTGAAAACTCGCTCCCCACTAGAGAATCAGAAACCCTAGAAAACTTTAATCCCGATCGAAATACAAAGAAAGTGCAGAATAGATATTTTGACCATATTTCGCTGACACAAAAGATGTCATGTCCGATTTGTAATATATATAGTTACAAAGACTCGGTGACTAATGGACAACAATTAGCGAAACACAACAGTTTGATGGGCAACAAATGAAGGAGATTAAAGTGGATGAAGGAGA